AGTCATACAACTTCATCCTGGCCAAGATCAGAGGGTCCGTGTGGTCACAGTTAAAACTGCTAGAGGAGTCTACAAGCGGACCATTACGAAAATTGCTGTGCTTCCTTTGAACTGAACCGTCGTTTAGGGGGCCGGTATGTTGAGAAATAGATCGGTCATTTAATATCTTCATATAATTAGCACCTAGTTAAGCGCTCATCATTGTTTTGTTTTCTATATAAAAGGTTTAAGCTCACACGCATAGTCGAAAATGCAGTAGATCTGCATTAGTATTGAAATATCACGCGTTTTTCTGCATTCTCTTTGTTCTGCTCGTTTTTTGGGCATTCATTGAAGTCAACTTCACCACAACCGCTCGCTAATCGCAAAAGACATTGTAAAACCACTTTACATTAAAAAAATCTCAAAACCTATATATAAAATAATACAGTCCCTTCGAGTAGCCGGATTACCGCGTTTGATTTTGAGTTTCTTTGTGAATAATAAAAGACAAATTAGCCACCGTTTTCGTCATGAACGCGACAGTGGAACGTCTATTTGAGGGATAAAACCAACTTCTGGAACAAATTCATAATTCATCGGGAGCAGCTAGTTTAAGGTTTGAAAAAATTCGCATTCCCACATTTTCTGGAAAGTACGAGGAATGGAGCCAGTTTAGTGATTTGTTCTTAAGCTCAGTGTTCGCGCCAAGCGGCGCTTCCAGTTTCGGGTGAACCGGAACCCTGGAGTCCTAACATTCGAGAGAACAGTTTTTTCCAGATCTTCGCATCTCGTTCTCTCGCACTGTTAAGTGTCTCCACTCCGCTCTCCAAGCGGCCTCTTGAAACATCCACCCCGTAGCATTAAGTTAGTTCTAATCTACCAGTGTATGAAGAGAGAATTGAAGTGAACTAGTTTTTTTGAAATAAACCCTACGTTAAAAATAAATACTTTTACTGGACTAAATCAACCCCATTGGAGAGCCGCCCCTCGACACTTTCATGATCCATCGACCGGATAATTCCAGAAGAGGAGAAGAAGTTCCAAGCACCAGCGTTCAACCGGCGGATTTTCCCGAATTTCTCTTCCATCATTCAAGATAAGTACAACCGTTCTTATTTATACTCATTTCTGCCGACCAGCCAGATATTTCCAAATTTTTAAATCCAATTTCTTATATCTGTCTGATCGGTCATTCCATTGTGCATACGATCGCCATATTCCGGCTTCTTTTTCGCATTGCTATTTCCATCTTCATACGGTCGCCATTTTCCGGCTTCTTTCTTCATATTTTCCCATTTTCATATTCTTGTTCATACTGACATATAATCCAGATGCACACTCCTTAATGTACGTACATATGCCTGACCATCTCAACATGTGTACGTAAGGAAACATACACGTACCTTCATTCGCGTTACACCCTACAAATTTTCTACAGCGACATTCACCATACAGTCCACATTATCTCCAATTTGCAAATTTATCACATATTATAATTTTAAATTACAATTTATACACATACATCACCGAGTTCCCAAAAACACACATATCCATACGCCCATACATACACACATATAACCCTAATGCATGCTTATTAATGTAAGTACATACCCTGCAGTTCCGAAATTCATCACTACAAAAATTCATCACTGTTTAATCAGCAGCGGACTGTGACGCCGGCAGAGCCAAAGGCAAAGTCGGCAGAGCCGAGTGCGACGCAGGCAGAGCCGAAACTCTCAGTCCCCGATCGTAGGCAACGCAGAAAAATTTCCATCTCCCTCTCTTACTCTGTCTCTCTCCCCATAAAATGAGCTGAGAGGTGGAGGACAATGTAATAAAATCAGATCGACCTTTATACACCCTTGAAAATAAATTAGCCTAATTTTTGTATTGTAGTCGTTGATTCTTATTAATTATATTATTTTATGGAAATACTTTTTAAAAATAAAATTATTATGATAGTTTTGAAAGGTATGGATTCCTTTTTAGTGAATTTAAGTTATGTGATTATTTTTCATAGTCGGACATGCTTTTATATACCCTGCTTTGACGCCAAGCGAAATATGTAAAGACAAATTAGGCAAAGGAAAGAACAATAGGATTAACGGCGCCCTTGTTTTCAACTGAAGTTGTTTTCGCGCATGATACAATAACATAAGGTAGTCTCGTCGGCAAATTTTGGAACCCTACTATTAAAACAATGAGTGCGAGTGAAATGGCAACTGTTTAGTAAGTGCGAGCAGAGCGACGATAGAATGTGTGGATTAACCCTTAGATGGTTCAGGGGGTTTTTTTTTGCCTTTCATAATAAAAGGAGTTTAATTTTTTTTTATAATTTAATTTTTAATAATTTTGAATTTGAAATTAGGCGTTGTTTTTGTCTCTGAATACTGAGTCTTTTGTTAAGATTCTTAATTCTAAAATATATTCTTATCTTAAAATAACAAAGAATGTAAACGAAACTTTAATAATCGCAGCCGAAAATGTTAGTATAAGTTTAGACATAAAAACTTATACTAACATTTTCGGCTGCGATTATTAAAGTTTCGTTTACACTCTTTGTTATTTTAAAAGTATCACAGCGATTCCTCCCACAGCGCTCTTTTTGCCAAACATTTCGGTGCCTTTACGCCATCGACGTGTTTGCGGCACACATTGCAAAATGTCATGTTGCTCAAGGGTTAATTTCCTAAAAAAATTCGTCCGCAGACAACCTTTCCCTTCGAAAGACGAACACGCACTGACCAAAACCCGAACGTTTAGACAGCCGACGAGACTACCTTATGTTATTGTATCATGTTTTCGCGGTTTTTACGTGCACTTGCATTTGAGAGAACGGAGAGAACAGATCGAAGCTGAGATTTTTGTGAAATTTTATAACTAAATTTATCAGAAATTTATGTAAGTGTTATTTTATTAATTATTTTGAACTGTACCTACATATACTGTTAATATATTTATTCATTATTTAAGGCGAAGCTTATAATAAAACTGTTGGGCCAGCATAAACTAAGCTGGACTTGGCCGGCGGCAAAACAAAAAACGCAGTAAGTTTTTATTTTTTTAATAATTTTTTTATTTCAGATATACTTGGTCAGGAAGAGCCAGTACATAAAGCACGAAGTCAAAAAAGGGCACGGAAACCGAAACATCCTCAACACCTCCGGGACAACTGAAAACGTACATATGTAGATTGAATTAAGTTAAATTAATTAGTTATATGTAATGAAATAAATGAAATAATAATGAAATATTGTAATAAAATAAAAAATGAAATTTATATGAAAATTTACTGAATGAATTTTACTGATGAAAAAAAAGCGATGAAAAAGCGATGAAAAAGCGATGAAAAAGCGATGAAAATGCTATGAAAAAGCGATGAAAATGCGATGAAAAAGCGATGAAAATGAGATGAAAAAGCGATGAATTACTGATTAGAGTGATGAATTACTGATGAAAATGTGATGAATTCATCACTTTTTAATCAGTAATTCATCACTCGTTAATCACTATTTCATCGCATTTTAATCACTCGTTCATCGCATGTTCATCAGTAAACGCTGTTCAAAGAGTGATGAATTACTGATTAAAGAGTGATGAAAAACTGAAAAAAGAGTGATGAATTACTGATTAAAGAGTGATGAATTTTTCACTGATTAACTCCTAGGACATGCCAATGTTAAATTCATCACTAATTTGTATGAAGTTTCATCGCCGATTAATCAGCAGTGATGAATTTTTGGTGATGAAAAAGCGATTAAAAGGTGATGAACGGTACTGCAGGGTATCTACTTATCCATTTCAACATATGCACATAAGGAAATAAGTCGTAACGTAACGTAAGTCAACGTAAGCACGATAACCAAACATACGTTCTTTCGCGGTACACCCTACAAACATTTCGAAGTCGACATTTACAATACAGTCCACATAATTTATAATTTCAAAATTTTAGAAGTACTATATACACACATATAACCCTAATGCATGCTGATTAAGATACATATATTAATATATAATAATTATATATTATACATATTACCAAAAATAACTCGATTCCACCGAACCCATTACCACGACACGCCTTTCCAGAATTTGCATGATATTTATTTCAGCAGCGCTAATTCGCACACACCGTCGGCTCACATCCATTAAATAAAAATAAATAAATACATTTTTTTTTTGCAAGCCGTGACGGTGCGCAATATATATTTTTTCAAATTCCTACAGCTCATTTCTGCAGCACAGCATCCAACTGCAAATATCTTGTAGAGTATTATTTCCAAATCATCGTTATTTTCCTCGAAAACTTTCAAATTTGGACTAGTGTTTCGTTTCCACATATTCCAAAAATAGACCGGAGCCGTTGCGGCAAACACAAGCGGACCGCTTGCAATCTATGCCAAGGATACTTACCACTGCGATATATTATTTTTTTTTTTTTTTTTAAACAAAATTAAATTAATTCTATACGATTTTTTGTCGCGTCGCTCCACCATACATTGACATTGTTGACATTCCGCTATTGGGATTTTCGAAATTTTGTGCGCCGCACGGGTATCATCCGGAAGTTATCGATTTCGTCGTCCTTTTTCTTTTCGAATCCAACCCGGTGATCCGCAACAGCGTTACCACATTCCAGGACAGACTTTTCCGGGCGGGTCTAATTTTTACAAAACCAGATAGCTTTGCCCAGTTGATCTGATTTCTGGAATGCCAGGAGACATAACAAAGTTAACCGTTCCGTCTGCAAATAAAACGCGATCGCTATCCACATCATCTTGCGCGCCCACCTCAAGCCCACTAGCCCCAAAATCAATAACAAAGGCAAAGAGCGAAACTTCATTAGCCACCCAAGAAGGCGACAAGAAGTTGTCTATTCCTACGAGCAATCAGAAACAATTGTCTCTGAGTCCGCTCACGCCTAAAGTTAGGTCACAAATCCAGACCAAGTCCATAAAGTCATGCAAAAATGAGCAACGAAATTGCAATTGCGGTTCATCACGGTGTCCGACCGTATGAGCCATTTCAGAGCGACGATTGAAACTCCAGGGCCGTCACCTCCGTCTGTCCACACCTGCAAAATCCGTAAGGAGCAAGTCCGCTCGCTATGGGACAAAGCCGAAAAAGAATTCGAAGCGTGTTTAGACACGATCTCCAGTATTACGACTGAAGGGGCGGAGGAGATTTTGGCAACTCTGCACCGCAAATACGAATACTGCTATTCGGTGTACGAAGAGCTGCCGGTTCAGCTCAGCGAGCTAATTGACCGAGCCAGTTCACAGCAACCGGGGTCGAGCACCGACAATCAATCCGTGTGACAATCAGCCTCCATGTGATACCGAGGTATTCGAGGGAGACTATCTCAAATGGCCAACGTTCAGAGACCTTTTCACTGCCGTCTATGTCAACAACACACGGTTGACGACGGTCGAGAAGTTATTCCATTTCAACGCGAAGACGAGCGGTGAGGCAAAGGCAATTGTTGCCAAGTCCCCGCCCACTAATGATGGTTTCGCTTCCGCTTGGGAGGCGCTTCGAGACCGTTTCGAAAACAAACGGCTTTTAGTGAACAGCCAGCTCAAGCTCCTATTTAACTTGAGTTCCGTTAATTCCGAAACTGGCCATTCCGTAAAAGAGCTTCAGAGCACCATCCAAGGGTGCCTGACAGCATTAGCCCATTCCAAAATATCAACGGAAAATTGGGATTGCTTGCTGGTATACCTGTGCGCCAGTAAGTTGCCCAGGTTGACCCTGTCCCTGTGGGAACAATCCCTTACATCATAGTCCGACATTCCTACATGGGATGAGATGAACGCGTTCCTTAGCGATAGGTATAGAACCTTAGAAGCCATTGAGGATATGAAGCAGAGTCTTGGTGGTCCGTTAACTTCCAAAAATCCCCAGGTTACGAAAAAGCTTCACTCCTTTGAAGCCAAAGTGAGTGTCAAACCAAAGAGCTGTGATTTGTGCTCTAAAGAGAGTCACCCAGTGCGGTTGTGCCCTCGCTTCATTCAGATGGCAATCGAGGCGCGGGAAAATTACATAAAAAAGAAGCAGTTATGTTTGAATTGCTTCGCGAGAGGCCATCAGCTCCGGGATTGTTCCAGTACGCACAGCTGTTTCGTGTGCCGAGGGAGACATCACACGCTTTTGCATCGAGGCACCCCTTTTTCCAACAATCCAAGTCCCTCTGGGATTGCGAGACCTAGAGCCTATCCTCCGGCGGGAGGCTCAGACATTCCAGATGAACATTCAAATGTACAAGTCTGTTTTGCATCAGGCTCAAAGGCAGTTCTTTTGGGCACGGCAATGATTGATATCTGCCACCTCGGTACCCACTTCCGAGCACGCGCTCTGATCGACTCGGGATCGGAGGCGACGTTTATTACGGAGCGTCTTTTCAAGTTGGTCAATCTGCCGTTCCGCCCCATTCAAGCTCAAGTGTCTGGTTTAAATCAGACAGTTTCTGCCAAGTCAACACGGCTTTGCCATTTCTCCATTCGGTCTCCTACTAAGCCGGGCCTGCAGTTAGACACCACAGCGTATGTTCTGCCAGAATTAGCAGGCAGATTACCCTCACATTCCATTCGACAAAATGTCCTGAGAGATTTGCCAAACCTTCAATGGGCAGATCCCACATTTCTCCAGAGTTCCCAGATAGACGTTCTTATCGGAGCTGATATCCTTCCATCCGTGCTGCTGAGCGGCACAAAGACCAACATCTGCGGATCTCTTTTTGGGCAAGAGACCATCTTCGGGTGGGTGCTCACTGGTTCAGTCTCCATGTCCACAAGCAACCGAGTCTCAGCCTTTACGACTCAAGTTACGAAGTCAACAACAAACTTCTTACGAAGTTTTGGGAGGTGGAAAATCTACCATCAAAAATGGTAAAAGAGTCCGATTCCGTCTGTGAAAGTAATTGTCTACGAACCACAACGAGAGACGCGAGCGGGAAGTACGTAGTGACGTTACCGTTCTGCGACCCCGATCATTGTGGATCTGAGTTGGGATACTCAAGGTCTATAGCACTTGCTCAGTTTCTGAGAAACGAGAATCGTTTACGAAGAGACACTCAATTAAATGAGCAGTACAACTCCGTGATCCAAGAATATTTGGATTTAGGCCATATGAGAGAGGTTTCGCCCACTCACAATTCTCCAAACTACTACCTCCCACATCATGCGGTAATAAAACCCGAAAGCACCACCACGAAACTGCGGGTGGTATTCAACGCTTCTAGCCCTTCAGCAAATGGGACTAGCTTGAACGATGTGCTTCATGCCGGTCCAGTCCTCCAATCTGACTTAACGATCCAGATTTTAAAGTGGCGCTATTTCAAGTATGTCTTTAGTGCGGACATCACTAAAATGTATAGGCAGATCTGGGTCGATCCAAAGCACACGCCCTATTCCGAAAAAAGAAAGGTGACATTCGAGATTACGAGCTGAAAACCGTAACATTCGGTGTCAATTGCGCGCCCTATCTCGCCATCCGAGTGCTGTATTAGCTGGCTGATGACGTAGATCAGCAGTTTCCGAAAGCCAGTCACATAATCCGCAACTTCATGTATGTTGATGACGTTTTAGCAGGATCAAATTCTCAACAAGAAGCTCAACTTACCATCCAGGAGTTAGTAACCGCTTTGAATTCTGCCGGTTTTCCGCTTAGAATGTGGACTTCCAATCACAAGGGGGTTTTAAAGGACATTCCAAATGAGCATCTTCTCCATGCTGAGTTCCTGAATATTGATGCCGAAAGCACAGCCAAAACTCTCGGCGTTCGCTGGAGAGCAACCACCGACGAGTTCTACTTCGTGCCCCCAGAAATATCCGTCAAATCCTCCTATACAAAGAGAGAAGTTCTCTCCCAGATCGCAAAGCTATTCGATCCCGCTGGATGGCTTGCCCCGTTCATCGTCCGGGCAAAAATTTGTATGCAGGAGATCTGGCTGCAAGAGTTAGGCTGGGATGACAACCTTCCCGCCGAAATGAGCCATAGATGGCAAATGTTCCTGCAAAGTTATTCCGATCTCGATCAAATCCGTATTCCGAGATGGGTCGGTTACCAGCCCCAGGTGAAAATCGAGCTTCACGGTTTCTGTGAAGCTTTCCAAAGGGCCTATGGGGCTGCGCTGTATGTCAGGGTTGAAGTCGGTCAGCAGATATTGACTAATCTGCTTACGACAAAGACCCGGGTGGCCCCTGTGAAAACTGTATCCCTCCCCCGACTCGAGCTATGTGGTGCCCTATTGCTGGCAGATATGACATCCACTATCCTTCCAAATATGTTGTCAGACAGCTCTGAGATTTTCTGCTGGACAGATTCCACCATTGTCCTGGCATGGTTAAAAAAACCAGCCTGCTCCTGGACCACATTCGTAGCCAACCGTGTAACCAAAATAGCTCAAGCTACAAAGATTGAGAATTGGTCACATGTGCGATCAGAACACAATTCTGCCGACCTAGCTAGTCGCAACGTGTCCCTGCAAGAGTTGGGCGATAGCACCCTCTGGTGGCATGGGCCCCAATGGTTACAACTGCCCAAACTTCAATGGCCAGAAACTTCGGATCCACACCCAGTCACTGAGTTAGAGCAGCGCGCGGTGAAGGTTCATTTCGTAAAGCTCCCCGCTGATGATTTCCTTGAACGTTTCTCCAGACTAGACAAGGCATTACGAGTCCTAGCTTACGTCCAAAGGTTCCTAAATCGCTGTCGGAAGGCTCCGGTAAGTCCAGATAGGCAGCTCAGTAATCGGGAAATCCGGGAAGCTGAAAAAACCTACATAATACTTGCCCAGCGTGAAGAGTACGCGCTCGAGCTTCGATTGTTGCGAAGTAAAAGTTCCATACCCGCATCAAGCCAAATTGCGAATTTATTTCCATTTATAGACCAACATGGCCTCTTAAGAGCATGTGGTCGCTTAACTGCCTCCAAGGTCCTGCAGTATGACGAGCGCCATCCTGTTATACTCCCGTACAGCTGTCGGCTATCTCGTCTGCTTGTCCAATTCACGCACCAGATTACACTTCATGGCGGCAACCAATTGATAGTGCGCTTGGTGCGATCCAAATATTGGATTCCTAAAGTTAAGAATCTGGTAAAGGGAGTGGTGAATTCATGCAAGGTGTGCACCATTTATAAAAAAAGACTGCAAACCCAATTGATGGGCGATTTTCCAGGCCATTTACTTACACCGGCGTCGATTATGCCGGCCCCTTTGAAGTTAAAAACTACACAGGGAGAGCATGTCTCATCACTAAGGGATATATTTGTGTGTTTGTATGTTTTTCTACGAAGGCCATCCATTTGGAACCCACCTCCGACCTTACAACTGAGAAGTTTCTAGCAGCGTTTGCACGTTTTGTAGCTAGACGAGGTTGTCCTCAGCGGGTCCATTCCGACAACGGCAAAACCTTTGTTGGCGCCTCAAGTCTTCTTTCCCGTGACTTTACGCAAGCGCTAAAGGAGTCGGTGACTGATGCGTATAGCCATCAGGGACTCGTGTGGCGTTTCATACCCCCAGGAGCTCCTCATATGGGAGGCCTGTGGGAGGCAGGATTTACTCCGGATTTTAAAATTCTGTTTTACAAATCCACGTCCGCTCGCAAGTATACCTTCGAAGAGCTTTCCACGCTTCTTGCCAAGATTGAAGCCTGCCTTAATTCCAGACCGCTTTCTCCAATGTCAGAGGACCCGACAGACTTGCTGGCACTGACGCCAGGCCATTTTCTGATCGGGGGTCCGTTGCTTTCCACGGCGGAGCCTGAAATCAAAGGCGAAGCGAAGTCTATTATAAATCGATGGCAACATCTCAAGGCCCAGCATCAACAATTTAGTTCACGATGGAAAGAAGAGTATCTAAAGGAACTCCACAAGCGCAAAAAGTGGCTAAGGCCATCCAGAAATCTGCAAGTCGACGATATGGTAGTCGTTAAGGACGATAACTTGCCATCAAATGACTGGCGGCTCGGCAGAATCGTAGCTGCTATCCCAGGAGCTGATACTAGAGTACGCGTCGTAGATATTCTTACTTCTCGTGGAACTATCCGACGTCCGGTCCACAAAGTAGTTCTCCTTCCTATGGAGGCTAAGGCAACCTCCAAATCTCCACAATAATGCCTTCTGTTCCCGCTGCCCACCCCGTAAACATCACTAAAGCGACTCCTTTTCTGATTTGTTTGTTGTTTTGCTTTCTCTTCCAAGTAAAGGTTCAGAATGGCTCCTCGCCCACGCACTTCCCAGACCCTTGTCAGCAGATGTTCTCGAGGTATAAAATCCTACCGCTGCCGAGTCTGCCAGGGTATACATCCGCTACGGAAATGCAACCGACTCCTGAAGCTCAGTTCAGAGAAGCGTCTCCGAGCAGTACTGGTGAACAAGTACTGCCACAATGGTTTGGCTCATCAACACTTCGGAGGGAAATGTCGCAGTGGCGACGTTTGCAAAAAATGTGGACAGGAGCATCACACCTTGCTCCACATGCACGAGATGTCCGCGATAACTCGCCGATCGCCTTTCCAGCAACGTCGGCAGTCGCCTTCCCCGCAACGCCACCAGTCACCGGCCCCGCAACGTCGCCATTCTCCGTCCCCGATTCGTCAGCAGTCACCACAGCAGCAGGCATCCGCATCGCAGTATCGATCGTCTGCCCCACCGTCTATTGTGGCTCCTGCAGCACAGGAGTATACATATTTTGCCGACGGCCATTGTGGTCATCGACACAGGGGCCAACAGCTATGAGACGGGCGCGCTCATCGACCCGTGTACCCCCGTGAGCAGTATCGATAGCTCGCTGGCAGAAGCTTTTCGGCTGCCGACCACGCAAATTGGAGACGAACGAGTGTGCTCAACGACCATCCGGTCGAGGTCGGGCGATTTTAACATGGATATGGTCCTGAAGATCGACAACTGCCTGCAAATCCGAACACCGATTCGTGCGCTGAGCGATGAGGTTCGGGCTAAATTCGATACCATCCGACTAGCCGATGACAAGTTCCATCGTCCAGCTACCATCTCCCTGGTGTTGGGATCCGACGTGTACCCGAAAGTGATCCAACCCGGGTTTTTAAACCTTCAAGATGGGCTGCCCGTCGCTCAGAGCACGGCGTTTGGATGGAACGTGTCGGGAGCCTGCCATCAGTCCTGATGTCCTGCTTCAAGGAACTCTCCCGCAGGGGGGGAGAATGTTCGCGCCAAAGCGGTGCTTCCAGTTTCGGTTGAACCGGAACCCTGGAGTCCTAACAGTCGAGAGAACAGTTTTTTCCAGATCTTCGCATCTCGTTCTCTCGCACTGTTAAGTGACTCCACTCCGCTCTCCAAGCGGCTTCTTGAAACATCCACCCCGTAGCTTTAAGATAGTTCTAATCTACCAGTGTATGAAGAGAGAAGTGAAGTGAACTAGTTTTTTTGAAATAAACCCTACGTTGAAAAGAAATACTTTTACTGGACTAAATCAACCCCATTGGAGAGCCGCCCCTCGACACTTTCACTCAGTAAATAATAAATTTCCAAGTACTAAAAGTTTCATTATTTGAAATCTTATTAAGATGGGGAAGCACTTTCCTTAATCAAACATATTGCCGTTTGTAATAACAATAACCAAGATGCGTGGGAAAAATTGGAAAATCGTTATAACAAGAAAACGCTAATCGCTCGATCTTTTGTTCAGAATTTTCTTTCGTTGCCAACCGCTAACAATTTGAATATCGCTGAGTTACGTAGGGTAATTGACTCTGCCGACGCATGTATTCGAGGCCTGTGATAGCCGCGATGTGTGGCTAATTCATATTTTGCTATCCAAGTTAGACCCCGAAATCAAACAAATTTTTCTGGAGTTTGTCTTACTTGATGCAGTTGTAAGAGAAGCTTCTGATATATCCATGGCAATTTTATCTATCCAGGAATCAAAATGTCCTAGATCAGCATAATTTCTTAAGAATCGGCTGACTATATCCTATAGCTGCCATATAACTGATTGATCGGAAATGCCATAAGTTTGGTGTTTGTAAAGTTAGGAAGTTGGGATTTTCTATGGGTTTTATATTTGGACAATTAATTTGACCTACCAAATTTCATAAGTATCGGCCGACTATATCCTATAGCCGCTATATAGCTGATTGATCGGAAATGCCATAACTTTGATGTTTGTTAAGTTAGGAAGTTGGGATTTTCTATGGGTTTTACTTTCGGACAATCAATCCGACCTACCAAATTTCATAAGGATCGGCCGACTAAATCCTATAGCCGCCATATAGCTGATTGATCGGAAATGGCATAACTTTGGCGTTTGTTAAGTTAGGAAGTTAGGATTTTCTATGGGTTTTATATTTGGCCAATTAATCCGACCTACCAAATTTCATTAGGATAGGCCGACTATATCCTATAGCCGCCATAAAACTGATTGATCGGAAATGCCATAACTTTGGTGTTTGTTAAGTTAGGAAGTTGGGATTTTCTATGGGTTTTATATTTGGTCAATTAAGCCGACCTACCAATTTTCCGCCCGAAGTTAGCTTTCCTTTCCTGTTTTCATTCACTTTTATACCCTTGCAGAGGGTATTATAATTTTGGTCAAAAGTGTGCAACGCTGTGAAGGAGACATCTCCGACCCTATAAAGTATATATATTCTAGATCAGGATCAACTCCTGAGGTGATATAAGCATGTCCGTCTGTCCGTTTGTCTGTTTCAACGCGAACTAGTCTCTCAGTTTTAAAGATATCGAATTAAAATTTTGCACACGCCCTTCTTTACTTTGCTATTGCGTGCAAACGGCCGGGATCGGCCGACTATATCTTATAGCTGATCGGAAATGCCATATGGGTTTCTATTGTTTTTTTTATTTGGCCAATCAATCTGACCTACCAAATTTTTTAAGGATCGGCCGACTATATCCTATAGCAGCCATATAACTGATTGATCGGAAATGCCATAACTTTGGTGTTTGTTAAGTTAGGAAGTTGGGATTTTCTATGGGTTTTATTTTTGGCCTATCAATCCGACAACTTTGTAAAGTTAGGAAGTTGGTATTTTCTATGGGTTTTATATTTAGCCAATTAATCCGACCTACCAAATTTCATAAGGATCGGCCGACTATATCCTATAGCCGCCATATAACTGATTGATCGGAAATGCCATAACTTTGGTGTTTGTTAAGTAAGGAAGTTGGGATTTTCTATGGGTTTTACTTTCGGACAATCAATCCGACCTACCAAATTCCATAAGAATCGGCCGACTATATCCTATAGCTGATTGATCGGAAATGGCATAACTTTGGCGTTTGTTAAGTTAGGAAGTTAGGATATTCTATGGGTTTTATATTTGGCCAAGTAATCCGACCTACCAAATTTCATAAGGATCGGCCGACTATATCCTATAGCCGCCATATAACTGATTGATCGGAAATGCCATAACATTGGTGTTTTTAAAGTTGGGAAATGGGGATTTTGTATGGGTTTTTTATTTGGCCAATCTATCCGACATACCAAATTTCAAAGGGATCTTTGGTGTGTTTTTCAGATTCAACTTTAAACCTAATTTCGAATTGTTATTGAGCACTGGTACATATAAGAAAATTTGTACTTAGTCATATAATATGTCATAGAATATATGATAGCTATATTTTGCTATCATCATCAATATAATCAATCAATTCAATCAATCAATCAATTCAACCCCCTCGAACTTTTCCTTTTTGGTAATGCCAACTTTTGAGAAATAGATTTATAAAATATTAAAAAGTGTGCAACGCAGTGAAGGAGACATCTCCGACCCTATAAAGTATATATATTCTTGAATTAAAAGCCTTATGGTCCACGTTTTTTGTGCTTCAGCTTATTACTTTCGTCGTTCTTCTCTTTCTTATACACACTCAAAATTACCAAAAAAGCCTCCTTCCAGGCTGGTCTTACAAAGTGACCGTTCGAATTATAAAAATATACTAAATCTGTTAACATTCCAAGAAATAACATTGGAGAAGATAAAATTCAACTAAGTTGGGAAGATGGCTCCAACATACTCCCTGCCTTGATAGAATCCGGAAGCGGGGCGATTTTGTGTACTGGTCTTCGAAGAACTGCCTTCTGTGTTAGGAGATCCAAGACTCGCACCTTGTCGTCCTCCCCAGCAATCGTTGCGATGACACGCCCCAGTGGCCAGTTTTGGGGAGCTGCGTTGTCCTCGTGTATAAGAACCAGTTGTGCTACCTTTATATTGGGCTGTGGACGAAACAAATTCCAAAATTGCTGTTTAAGAAACGAACTGCGCTGCCATCGATCTAGGTAGTGAATGTTTGACGTCTCGTTAAATTATTCTTCAGGAGCTGAAATTAGAGATGATCCAATGAGGATGTGAGCTGGAGACACCGCTTCTCCATCGTTTGGATCGGCTGACGCTGGAGTGATTGGTCGCGAATTGAGTATCGCCTCGATCTCCGTGAGGATCGTTTGTAGCTCCTCGTACGTTAAGTTGGCTTCGGCCATGTTTTTCACCAGCAAAGTTTTAGCGGACTTAACCGCGGCTTCCCACAGACCCCCACGGGTCTGTGGGGCGCACGGGGTGGGATAAAGCAGAATTCGAACCTTTTAATTGCGCTGTATTGGTGTAGATGGCTGATCGCTTCATTGCTCAAGATTGACTGTTTAAATTCAGATAGCTTTGCCGATGCTCCCACGAAATTAGTACCATTGTCGCAGTACACTCGCTTGGTCAGTCCTCGACGGGACACGAACCTTCGGAGGCACAACAAGAATGCGTTCGAGGAGAGATCTGAAACTGGTTCGATATGTACAGCTTTCGACGAAAAACAACGTATGTTTTGTATGGGGCTCTGCTGCGGATTCGATACGACGTCATGAATGGTCCGCTGTCTTTGGCAGCGCAAGCGGTACGCGGGCAGGGAACCCATGATTTGAGTCATCAACTTCGGCTTGTAATGGAAGCAATGCGTACATGAGCGTACGACCTTTCGAGTTAACTCCCGTGCGTTTGGTATCCATATCCGATCACGTAAGAGAGAAAGGAGCACCTTGGCTCCTGCGTGGAGATTCGATTTATGTAGAAACTCGACATACAATTTGGCGAATCGATGCTCTCGTGGCACCAAAGCTGGGAATTTAGCGTCGTACGGCATATCTCCGTTGGCTAATCGCCCACCGACCCGAATTACGATTATCGAGTTATAGTTGAATTTCCTCTAAAAACGGACATAGACCCTGCAACCTGTCTTTAACACGCTGTTGTTTCTTTAAAAGAGAGATTTCAGAGTGATATACTGATTGCTGTATGTGTTCAATTAACTACGCTAAGCCCTGGCGCTGAGATGTGTACTACTTAACGGTCATAAACGCCTTCGATTTGCGTGGTTGCTTCGATGATGATAGCGTGGGTATGTCGGTTCCACCTACGGGGTGATCCCTTTCGCGTGCTTCAAGATATTGACACCGGCGAGTTAGAAATCCGCAGCAGTCGACCCAGGATGGTAATTGATCGTAACTCTGCCTTTCTTGATACTGCATTTTTGTCTCTGGATCCAATTCGCCTAGCATCACATGAATTATGATTGCATCCATTACGTTTGCTGCTGATCCAAGTGAGAGCACTGACGATCGAATTGCAGATATCGTATCGACGACGTTTAGAAGTTTGGCTGCATGGGCATTCTCGATGGTTGGAACTGCAAAAAAATTTGAAATGTAGTCTAGGAAAATTAACACGTCGTTATCGTATCGCTGCCTCAACCGATCCATTGCCTTCGAGTAGTTTTCCTCGGTAATCTGAAATGATTGTACTACCTCAAGAGCTGGCCCAGTGAAGCAATTGAGCAGGTAGGTAAACTTGTCGATATTCGAAAGGCCACCATCTGTTTCCACGAGATTTGAAAATGCACCAGCGAAACGTTTGTAGTTTGCGTATTTTCCGTCGAACCTCGGCAACTTCAGATTTGGCAGACGATTGTGATGCATGACTGAAGAATTGAATGAACTATTCAATGTCGTGTCTCCTGGAATGCTTGCCCGACGTTTCCTTGATATTGCGGTCAACAGCGTTGTTTTAATTTCCACGAACAGCTTATCCAAACTGCTTCGCTCGGTGTCAGCACTGTGTAGATTTTCAATTTGGCCTTGAGTTGTAGAAAGTTGACGAAAGTGCCCTTCTAGTATTTGAAGATAACATTCTAAAGCTGGCACGTTTAAAGTCTCCTTCTCCTTATCGAGTTTGGTCTTCAAATTGGTCATGTTTCGCGTAATCGTAGTCCGTTGATGCCGGAGGGATACTAATTTGCTGGTGTTGACTTCGCTTCCAGCGGCAGCATCGCCTGGGTCAACCATTGTGTGGCAAATCTGGTATAACTTCTATCTCTGACAAATAGAACGCTAAATGGAGCTAGTTAAATTTGGCCTACCAACTAACACTACAGCTACAGAAAATAACAATGAATCTCGAACACAACCTATGCGGACAGAATATTTGTTGCGTAATAATAATTTATTGATGTAAATAACATTGAGGTTATGTTCTCTCGCTTACGGTGACTCTCTGCATGATTGTGTGAGTGTGTGAGTTGGATGGAGCACCAGTCCACGTGGATGATCCGCCTTGTATAAGAGCTGGGAGTGTTGCCACGATCGTCTTCTGGATGTTTCTCCAATGCCTTTGGTGTGTCCTAAGATGAGCGCGCTGGTTGGCTTTTGTTGCGGCGCTTTTGCCTGAACTTCGCTGCGAGACGCTTTTGTGGTCTGGTGGAAATTAATAGCGTGGCCTGTACAACACCAACAACTTGACACTGTCGGACGGATCGCTCGTCCTGTCACGGTCGCCAAATTATGTTCAGACCTTTCTCTGAGTAAATCAGCCGAATTTCTTCGGGTACGGGTCTGGGATTGATTGCAAACAGTGACCGGTTGTTGTAAAGTAAAAGCCTTATTGTCCACGGTTTTTGCGCTTCAGTTTATTACTTTCGTCGTTCTTCTCTTTCTTATACACACTTAAAATTACCAAAAAAGCCTCCTTCCAGACTGGTCTTACAAAGTGACCGTTCGAATTATAAAAATATACTAAATCTGTTAACATTCCAAGAAATAACATTGGAGAAGATAAAATTCAACTATGTTTGGAATTGGGCTCCAACACTTGGTGTTTTGTATGGGTTTTTTATGTGGCCAATCTATCCGACATACCAAATTTCATAAGGACCTTTGGTGTGTTTTTCAGATTTAACTTTAAACATAATTTAGAATTGTTATTGAGCACAGGTCATATAAGAAAATTTGTACTTAGTCATATAATATGTCATAAAATATGGCTATCATAGCTATCATCATCAATAAAATCAATCAATAAAATTCAACCCCCTCGAACTTTTCCTTAATGGTAATGCCAACTTTTGAGAAATAGATTTATTAAATATTATTTTGAATCTGTCGTCGATCCATTTTTATACCCTTGCAGAGGGTATTATAATTTTGGTCAAAAGTGTGCAACACAGTGAAGGAGACATCTCCGACCCTATAAAGTATATATATTCTTGATCAGGATCACCTCCTGAGTTGATATAAGCATGTCCGTCTGTCCGTCTGTCTGTCTGTTTCTACGCGAACTAGTCTCTCAGTTTTCCTTTGCACGCAGTATATAAGTCGGAACGGCAGGGATCGGCCGACTATATCCTTTAGCTGCCTGTAGAAAATCGAAACGAAAATAATTAATTATTAATAATTGAGAATGCCGAAAAGTGAAAAGACTTGGCTTGGCTGCTGCAAAATTTGGCGGAAGGAGAAAACGCAAGACTGGCCGATTCGATATTCAAAATTCCACTACTTTATTGTGCCCAGCAGAGCAGTTTTGTGAGAGCCTTTGCAGGCCCGCTGAATCTGATTTAAGCCTTGGCGCTGAGCATAACGCTGTTGGGCTCTCTTAAGCTGTTACTTATGTCTATCTTAACATAAACTTCATAATTAGCGTTCTGCGCTTCAACATTCCGGCCACCTTGAAGGACCTGCCTTCAATATAATGGGAGTGCAGCCAGCTTCTGAATAGGACGCTTAAATACGCCTCTTGCGGTCTTGATTTCGGCCACTCGAATTTTGCCATCGACCCCTGCCATCCCGCTGGGGTGGAGTGTTGTCCTCGTGGATGATTGCCAAGGCTCCGACCTCCAGATTGGGCGATGTAGTTTGCCACTTGGTTTTGCGCTGAAGGCTGTGGATATATTCCTTGGACCACGTCTGCCAGAACCACTGTCTGAGCGTGGATAGCATTTGTCACCTCTTTGAGAACCTTAAACTCCTGGTCGGTGCGTCTGGCTCTAATCCTTGCGGCAGCGAACGAAGGGCCTGCCCGATTAGGATGTGCCCTGGAGTGAGCGCCTCCTCCTCGTTGGGATCGGTGCTGGTTGGAGTTAGAGGCCGAGAATTGAGCACGGCCTCGGTGTCCGCCAGATAAGCCCTGACCTCGGCTTCGGTTAGGGACGTGTCCCCAACTTGGCGCACGAGAATTTCCTTCGCTGACTTCACGGCCGCCTCCCACAAACCGCCGAAGTGCGGTGCTCGTGGTGGGATGATGCCCTTCTCCACGACGAACAGTTGAAACTGCGACTGCTGATCCTCGAGGGCCCTCTGAAGACTTCTCAGCTTGTTCCTGGCTCCCACGAAGTTCGTCGCGTTGTCGGAATGTACTCGATGCGGTACGCCACGTGCAAAACAGACAAATACAGCAATATACATCTTAATGGGGGGCCGTCCTCGAATACGCAACGATACATTGATAGGACCAAACTAATCTACGCCACAAATATGAAATGGCCTTACGGATTCGAACCTTTCCGCAGGCAGATTTCCCATAATTTGGTTCATCAGAACAGGCTTATATCTAAAACAATGGATGCATTTTCGAGCCACCCGAGTGCATTCACTGCGAGCATTTATTAACCAGATTTCTTGCCGAAGAAGACCGATCATCGTTTTTGCATTTCGTGACAATTTCTCAAATGCAAATTTCGGAGATACAAATCAACAATTTGGTTCTTACCAGGGAGTAATATCGGAAATTTAGCATTTTCTGAAATAGGTGAATGCAAGAGTCTACCTCCCACCCGAATTAGCGAAAATCTTCTACCAGCTTCAGAAAACTTTTGTATGAAGGGCGTCATGATCTGCAAACTTGGTTGTAAAACATGTCCTTTTTTAATTTTCTTGTACTCTTCTATAAAGACATTCTTTTGGATGATTTCCATCAGTTTAAAAAATTATAGTTGTAACTCTCTAGCAGTCAGACCTACTGATCTTTCTCGTGATTTAGCTAGGTTTAGAAATCTGTAAACGTATCTAAGAATTCTAATGAGTTTGGGAAACGATGAGATACGAGTAATGAATTCAAACGGAGTTGATAGCTCGAGGGCTGTACACACTTGGGCAGCTCTTTTTAACTCTGAGTTTTTTAATTCGGAAGGTATAGAAAAATGCGAGTTTTCTGGCCATGATGACTCATTTTCATACAGAAATTAGGACCTTCGAACCAGATGGACTCAGTCAATTCAGATGGATTCTCGCGCCATACTATCAGTTGATAGTTACGATCTTCTTCTGCGAGACTTACTTGCCTATACATTTTCGATATATCTGCTGTTAAAGCGAATCGATTTAAACGAAATCTAATGGTAATGCCAACTTTTGAGAAATAGATTTATGAAATATTATTTGGAATCTGTCGTCGATCCATTTTTATACCCTTGCAGAGGGTATTATAATTTTGGTCAAAAGTGTGCATTTATTAACCAGATTTCTTGCCGAAGAAGGCCGATCATCGTTTTTGAATTTGCGTGACAATTTCTCAAATGCAAATTTCGGAGATACAAATCAACAATTTGGTTCTTACCAAGGAGTAATATCGGAAATTTATCATTTTCTGAAATAGGTGCATGCAAGAGTCTACCTCCCACCCGAATTAGTGAAAATCTTCTACCAGCTTCAGAAAACTTTTGTATGAAGGGCGTCATGATCTGCAAACTTGGTTGTAAAACATGTCCTTTTTTAATTTTCTTGTACTCTTCTATAAAGACACTTGGGCAGCTCTTTTTAACTCTGAGTTTTTTAATTCGGAAGTTATAGAAAAATGCGAGTTTTCTGGCCATGATGACTCATTTTCATACAGAAATTAGGACCTTCAAACCAGATGGACTCAGTCAATTCAGTCATCGCAGCCACGGGACGCAATGTCTGCTGGATTAAACTGCGAAGGGACATGTCGCCAGGATATATTTTCTGATAGCTCTTGAATTGTGGCTACCCTGTTTGAAACAAAAACTGCAAGTGACGAAGGTTGAGACTTTATCCAATGTAAGGTTATTTCTGAGTCTGTCCAGAAATAAACAATCTCGATTTCACATTTGTCAAGAACTTGTTTGACGTAGCACCAAAATTGTGCCAAAAGTGTGGCGGCGCATAATTCAAGCCTTGGTATGGTTTTCGTTTTTAGTGGAGCCACTCTCGATTTCGCTGCTAGTAATCGACATTGAACCTGACCGTTTTCGATTGCTCGAATGTAAATGCAACATCCGTAAGCTTGGCTGGATGCATCTGCGAAACCGTGAACTTGAACGGCTGAGCACCCACTGGCAAACGTGTACCTAGGAATGGTGACTGCGAGAAGATTAGGTAGATTCTTCTTTAACCTTTCCCAACTCGTATGTAACGACATCGGAATGGATTCATCCCATTCCAGTTGAAGTTGCCAAAGGCTTTGAAGAAGAATTTTAAATGTAAGGCAAATGGGGCACAGCAATCCCAAGGGATCAAAAAGCCGCGCGCTTACTGAAAGAATTGTACGTTTTGTGGGAATCAATTTTGTAAAGCTCGCATCTAAATGAAATCGAAATGTGTCTGTGTGTGGCATCCAACGCATACCCAAGGCTTTGGTCGAATCGGTATCATTGAAATTTAGGGATTTTTCAGTGTTGTTCCCTTTTTCTAGTTGTGGATGGTTTGAAAACCATTTAGACAGCTGGAAACCACCACTATTGAGAATTTCTGACATTTGATTACACATCACGTTCAAGGTGTCAATATCATCGGCTCCAGTAAGCATGTCATCCACATAAAAGTCGTTGCAAATTATGTATGAACCAATTTCATGCTTATCCCTATTACGCACTCCAAGTTCTTGAAAGCTACGGATGGCTAAAAATGGAGCTGAAGACGTTCCGAAGGTGACTGTATTAAGACGAAATATTTGTAGCTCATCAGATGGATTCTCGCGCCATAATATCAGTTGATAGTTACGATCTTCTTCTGCGAGACTTACTTGCCTATACATTTTCGATATATCTGCTGTTAAAGCGAATCGATTTAAACGAAATCTAATGGTAATGCCAACTTTTGAGAAATAGATTTATGAAATATTATTTGGAATCTGTCGTCGATCCATTTTTATACCCTTGCAGAAGGTATTATAATTTAAGTCAAAAGTGTGCAACGCAGTGAAGGAGACATCTCCGACCCTATAAAGTATAAGTTAAAAGATTGATTATAATTTTATTTAAAAAAAATCAAACTTTTCTTTATTGAGTTGGATTAAGAACTGACTTTAATTAAGCTAAACAATTATTCATTATGACTACGCGTCGTTCCATCGCTGCCGCCGTCTCTGCCGCTGTTGCTGCTTCTGCTAACGTTCTTTGTTATTATTGGTTGCTGCTATTCTTCGCTGTCGCTGTTGGCCAATTTTAATTGTCATTGGCCAATGCATTAACGTTATAGTTTTTGTTGTATGCACTTGGCCAAGTTCGATCAACTTTGGAAATTGGCTATTCTGCATTCCCACGATCGCTGACCGAAAGGTGCAAGCTCAGCGCACGTGGCTTAGCTCGTGTGAACTTATTGGGGGCATTTGTTGTGCAACCAATGCTTACTCTTACTTATGTCTGGGTCTTCATATAATTTTAGGTGTTAACTCTTCCCTCCTTAAACGCGACTGTCCTCGGTCGCAACGACGTAGAGAATAGGTCCAGAATGTGGGGGCTTTTCTTGCGTTTCTGGCACGGAAGCTGATGTACTTTCCGTTGATTTACGTCTTCGTAGGAGTTCCGTGATCGATCCTATTATTAGTAGAAGTAGAATGATGGCCGATCCGTAGCTAACGGAAGATTCTATAGTTGTTTTGCTTCTTAGTTTTTCCAGCGCTTTTGTGTTGTTTATATTGAGTTCCTTGACCATTTGTAGTGAGAGAACTTCCTCTAACTTCGTCTTTTCTCCCATTAGTTGGAATAACGGTGGTTCTGGTTCGACTAAGTTGACTTCTTTTGATTTGTAAGTAGTTTCGCCAATAGTTACTGTTGAATTACGGTATTGTATTATAAAGGAGCCTTGCAGTTGTAGAAGTTTTTCGTCTAGCGAGACTGGCCCATTGAAGTTGTTCAGTAGTATGGTGCCTGGCAGTATTTCCTCGAAATCTGGTATGTGTTGATTGTTGATCATCTTACATTCAGGTTCTTGAAGGTTCAGGAGAGCGTTTACACAAGTGTCATTGCTTAAATCTAACAAATTTTCTGAATTACAAATTGTCTTATCATTATGGGATTCGCAAGGTTTTTTAATTGCAAATAATTGTCTCTTACACTCTAACAAATTTTCGTATTTTATATCATTGATTATTTGGGCTTTTTTTATTGCTTTAATTTTTAAAGTTCTACAATTATCTGTTTTAATTGTTGGGAGGCTAATAATATAGATGAGGTCGTTGCCATTTGTGGCTAATTTAACTTTAGCAAATTCCAATAATTCTTCTATGTTAAAAAATAAGTCATTTTCCTTTTTAAAGATATCTTCCACTACTGTGGTTTCTGTGCTTGTGAATACAAAAGAGTTTATTGTGTTAGATTTGGCCCATGTAATTGCGTATATTATATTGGTTATCTCTTCTTTTATTAATTGAATTTTATACTTTAAAATATTTGCTTTCTGATTTACGATTTCTTCCGAGCTCTGGGTAACTTTTAGTATTGCGTTAGTTGCATTAGTAAGTTGGTTAATTTTTTGGTTAATTAATCTGTTAATTACTACTTGTTTATTGTTGTTTTCTAATTGCTCATTTATCTTATTTTCTAAGATCTCATAATCGTGGTGGTCTGGTGATCCCGCCAGCCATTTCCATGCAGTACCTATTGCTTCTATTGCCCTTTTTTGTCTTTTTTGTGTTTGGAGAATGCGTAAATCAGTATGAATCTGTTTTAGTTCGTATGAAAGGTAGGGGTGTAATGGATGAGATGAGGTGAGTGAATGAAATGAATCTTCTAACTTCGCCAGAGTTTCTTCATAGCTGTGTATGTTAAAGATGTGGATGATTTTAAATGTTCCGTCTTGCTTAGCCGCTAATCCGGTTTCGAGTGAGATGATTTGTGAGTTGGAGTAGTCGAGCACTGTGGTTATCCCCAGGCATGTTGGTAGAAATAGCCTGAAAAATTATGTTCTTATATTATTTTTATGTATGATTTTTCCGGTTTGTGTTTTAATAGTGGTCATTTTGTTTTCTGCCACTTTCTCAGCTTTGTATCTAGGTGTAAGTTTAGTTCCTAACCTTTTATCTATTTTTACGTGGACTACATCGCCAGGTTTAAAAAGCTTTGGTTGTATTTTGTCTCGATTGTGATATTTGAGGTCGGCTGTTTGTTTCTTCTGGATTTTCTGTTTAATTTCTTCTCGATTTTTTTCTATGTCTTCTACTGAACTGG